GAACTGCGGTCGACTACGTGGGAGTCCAGCGACATAGCCATTACGCTAACTGCTGGTTCCCTGTCTTTTTTTAAAAATACTTTATTTTATTTATTTATTTATTTGGAGAGGTTTTCGCTATAGGGCTCGTGCGCTCGCCAGAGACATAGAGACGGAAAGCGAGAAATCACCCCCCCAGGGGGGATGGCCGCGCCGCAATCCCTTCTCCTCCATTCTCCTCTCGGGATCTTGGGCACACATGCACACGCGCCCGGTGTGAGTTCTAAGCCCCCGGGTCCAGGATGCGAACTGTGGTTGACTACCGGGGAGTCCAGCGACATAGCCATTACGCCCACTGCTGGTTCCCTTTAATAATTTTTTAAAGAATTATCTTATTTAACTATTTATTTATTTTAATTTGATTAGAGACAGAGTGAGGGGGGGGAGGGAAAATGAGAAAGCAGCTGCCAGGTCAGGGACTCGTACCTTGGTTGGCCATGCGGGAGTCTAGCACCCTTAACCACCATGCCACCTGCTGGCCCATAACGTGTGTTTTTTATAGTCTGGCTTACTTTGCTTAACGTTCGATCTTCCATATTGCACTGTAAGGTAGGTACCAGGGTTTCATTGTCCCTTATGGCCGAGTAGTTTTCCATAGTGTATATATGCCACAGGTTTTCAATCCGTTCAAATTGACTTTACTATTACAATTTCTACTACTCAGGTCACCTGGCCAGAGGAGCTCAGAAATGGACTATATTAACAAGTACAGGCAACTTGAAGCACAAGAACTTGCCACGTATCGTGGTAGTGACCGCCCAGCTAGCGAACCAGGTGAGCAGGTGTCTTTGAATAGCTGAAGTTTGATGGGGAAGTGGTTCACATGTTAAGATAAGTTCTTAAAAGTCTTTGAGAAATATGGATTGTGATTTCATTGACTTTACATTGAATTTGTTGGGATGTTAGTGAATTTTTGACGTGGGATATTTTTGTCTTGTGGGTTTATCAGCATAGTACCTCACTCTGAATCAAGGAGTGTTTGGTCAGAGTAAGGAATTCATACCGCTTGTTAATTTAGGACATTTTTCAGAGCGAGTGTATGATAGGTTGTAAAATGTTCAGTTTTTTCCTATCTTAAATTCAGTTTCTAAATAGTCTCTTGGGAAGACAAATATGGTCTCATGCTTTATTAATTAAAAGTGCTTAATATTTTTATTTAAAAACTTAGTTTTTTTTACAATAAGCATATTAAAATGAAATTTTAAAATAATAATTTTTTTATTTTTAAAATTTAAGTATAGTAAGTATATTATTGTTTCAATATACATTTAATATTTTGTTTATTTTTTAAAGTTTGTTGTGAGTCTTTTTAGAAATTTTAATCACACATACCTTTACAATGTACAACATTTCTATCAAAATCAAATTTGAGACAGTGCCTAAGTGTATAAAATGAGAAATGGTCTTTTTTAAATCTTCCGTCCCCATGAGTGCATGTGTTCACGTTTCAGAGTAAGCTGGTTACGCTCTATGAGGGTGGAGCTCCTTTTCTTTTTCTTTCTTTTTTTTTTTTTTTGAAAGGTTTTTGCTATAGGGCACGTGGGTGTGCTCACCAGACAGACAGAGAGACATAGAGACAGAAAGCGAGAAATCACCCCCCAGGGGGGATGGTCACGCTGCAATCCCTTCTCCTCTATTCTTCTCTCGGGATCTTAGGCACGCACGCACACGCGCCCGGTGTGACTTCTCAGCCACCGGGTCTGGGACTCGAACCGCAGTCGACTACGTGGGAGTCCAGCGACACAGCCATTACGCTAACTGCTGGTCCCGAGCTCCTTTTCTTGAGCTAATTGTCCTGTTAGCAGCAGGCCTTATTCATGTGGTAGAGGTTCCCTTCTGGAATTCCGCTTTCTCTAGGCTGTCTGTCACTCCCCTGCTACTCACCCGGGCAGCCCACTGCTCGCCTGCTCTGTCTAGGTCTGCTTAGCCTTGAGGGCAGAAGCTGGACTTTTTAGTGTGACATTTTATTTTTAGCTTTACAAAATGATGAAATATAGTTCACACAATGTTGTGTTAATCTTTGTTCTTTTTGAAGTTTGTTTGGACCCCTTGACAGTATTAATTGGTATCTTGGATCAGCTGTAGAAAATTGTGAGCCATTCCCTGTGCTGCAGCCTCTCATTCACTTCTGTACCCTGGTTAAGTTTCATTACGTGCCTTCCTCTGTAAGGTAGACACAGCAGTTAGGCCCTTGCTGTGTTCTTAGTGCCCTTGCCTTGCATAGACCTGGCTGCTGGCTCCCTGTATCTAACCAACCCTCGGTGCTTTAAGGGGGCCTTGGGGTGTTTCCGTAGCCTCTGTGCTTGTCCTCAGGAGGGAGTTTGTCTGAACAGCCTAGTACATCCTCAGTATAAGTGGGCATTACACATGTGTAAGGCTCTTTTTATTTGAAAGTTTCTTTCTTTGGGGCCGACCTGCGGTGTGGCGGTTAAGGTGGCTGGATCCCATGTAGCTGGCGTTATGGTTTGAGTCTCAGACGCGGCAGCTTGAGGAACACGCCAGGTATGTATACACGAGTGCCCAAAGTTCCGAGAGGAGAAGGGATTGCAGTCTGGCCATTCCCTTTGGGGGGTGCTTTCTCACTTCTCCCCAACCCCTTGTTTCTCTCCAGTGAGCATACATGTCCTATAGCAAAATTTTTTGTTTTTTGGAGAGGTTTTTGCTATAGGGTGCGTGTGCTTGCCAGAAAGAGAGACAGAGAGACAGAAGGGAGAAAGCTCCCCCCCAGGGGGGATGGCCACGCCGCAATCCCTTCTCTTCCTTTTTCCTCTCAGGATCTTGGGCACGCACACACATGCGCCCGGCGTGAGTTTAAGCCACCGGGTCCGATACTCGAACTGCACTCGACTACATGGGAGTACAACGACATAGCCATTATGCTAACTGCTGGTCCCACAAAATATTTTTTTAAAGTTTATTTATTCCATGAGAGACACAGACAGACAGCTAGCTCCTTAACTGGCTTCTTAACCACTAAGCCACGGGGCTGGCCCTGTGTCTGTTTATCGACATTAAAACTGTGGGATCATACTTACACCTCGGATTCCGGGCCAGCATGGCCGGTTTCAAGACGAGATTGTGTTCTACCCAGTTACAGAATCCCTCAGTTCACAATAGCTCTGACTCTGCTGTGTTGTAGATGTTATTTGCTGTTGTAGAAACGGTTCCTGAGTGGAGCTCTAGGGATGTCAGCGCAACGCTGCGACTCCATCAGAACAGTTTATGAAGTGAGGGGCAAATGCTTTTTTTCAAATGGAGACTTCAGAGCATCGATTCGTGGAGCCTCTCCGGCCCTGCGGGCCCCCTGCTCTCCCGTCCTGGGATGGCATCTTCAGGTCAGGGCTGAATGCCACAGGTGGCCTCCTCTACATCAGCGATGTTTCTGGTGATCGCTTTCATCCCGTTTCAGTTTTGTCCTGGTTTTAAGGGAGTGGCTCCCGTGAGATGGACAGGTGGCTGAGCAGGGAGGCCTCTCCCCAGAGAAGTGATATGTAGTTACCTATTGTAATGATTTGATGTTACAGCAAAAGGGTATGCAGTTCTCGAGCTTGTTCTCGTCACGTGTACTGTCTAGATTTTAAGATGGACGTCCTTAGGTCCTCACCAAGCTGACCTAATACTCGTCACTTAACACCCATTTCAACTGCTGGAGCCTGTCATCGCTGAGCTTTTGGGTTGGGTTTTGTCCTTGGTGATGATGGGGGTGGGGGGTGGCCTAGTGAGATGACTAGGAGGGCTCCCCAGCTCACGTGACAGACCCTGTGCGAGCAGTCGGGGCGGAGCCTCGAGTGCAGATTGCAGGCTGCTGGTGCCTCCCTTTGTCTGCGAGCTGGGTCTGCCTGAAGGGACCCGTCATGCTTCCCTCCCCTTCGCTGCTGAGGGGGTGGGGGGGACGAGAGCCGTGTGCAGCCAGCCGTGGGCACCTCTCTTTGGCTCTGGCTGCCCTTGGGCAGAGGATGTGGAGGCAGGATGATTGGTGCCGGGGCCCCTTCAGCCAGTGACCTGAAAACGTCAGGCTGTGTTTCGCGTCTCCTGCAGAAGGGGCTGCAGCCGGGACAGTGCAGTTAGGACATGAGACTTTTTCCCTGATAATGTTTCTGCTGCTTGTATCGCCTGTGCCCATACTCGCCCCCACACTCGTGCCCGCGTGTGCACGGCCGTGTCCATGTGGTCACTGCAGATTTGGCTGGGCAGTGGCGGCCCAGGCTCAGTCTCCTAGCTGCCTGCTTCCCATCTTTCTTTCTTTTTAGAGAGATTTTAGCTATAGGGCACGTGTGCTTGCTGGAGAGACAGAAAGAGACAGACAGACAGCGAGAAATCACCCCCGGGGGGATGGCCAAGCTGCAATCTCTTCTCTTCCAGTCTCCTCTTAGGATATTGGGCACGCATGCACCCACATGTGCCTGACGTGAGTTTTAAGCCACTGGATCCAGGACACGAATTGCGGTCGACCATGTGGGTGTCCAGCAACGCAACCATTACGCCTTCTACTGACCCCAACTTCCCATCTTTCTGAAAGGCTTAGCCGCCCCTCCCTCTGAGTGGCCTTTGCCTGGGCCTCTCACAGCCTCTGGGGCACTACACATCTGGGCCCGCATCTCCCCGCTGTGCCTGGGTGCCGACTCGCGGGGTCTGTCCTCACTCAGCAGGCTGAGCACGTCCTCCTCCCCTTCCTGGTGTGTGTGTCTCGGCGGGCCGGAGACAGCAGTGGGCCCCCAGCCTCAGTGTTTGCTTCACAGCTGGGAGGAGTGTAGGCAGCAAAGCGAGGGTGACACATCCCTGGGTCAGCAGTGGGCAGTCAGTGCCAGGTGCCAGTCAGCGCCAGGTGCCAGTCAGCAGTGGGGCCGACTTTGACTTTGACAGACAGCAGCAGACCTGGCTCCTCTGTTTGTAAACTTGACAACAAGTGCCGCACACCTTGCTTCAAGTGTAGGAACATAGCTATAGTGTATGTTTTACGCTCTTAAAAAATTTGCTATAGGGCACATGTGCTCATTGGAGAGAGAGAGTGAGAGAGGCAGAGACAGAGACAGAGGGAAATCAAGAAACCACACCTCAGGGGACATGGCCACACCAAAATTCTTTCCCAGTTATCTTCTCAGGACTTTGGGCATGTGTGCACACACGCCTGCAGTGCTTTTCAAGCCACTCGGTGCAGGGCATGAACCATGCAGCTGGCCATGTGGGTTCCAGCCTCCTTAGCCACCACCCTGCTGGCTGGCCTGTGATTACATGCTGTTGAGACTAGCCGTGAGCCTGAGATATGTTCAGGGAAGCAGTTGTAGAGAGCAGAAGAGGTGCTTGGCTGTGTGTATGTGGCCTGAAGGACGGGACAGAGCAGGAAGAGGCTGGGTCAGAAAGGGCTGGGGGAAAGAGGAAGGGCGGATTGTGGGAGGACAGAGGTTCCGGGAAGGGGGCCCCAGAGAGAGGTACTATATTTCACACAGGGATGGAGAGGTTTTGGAAGTATAACATTTTGCAATGAAAATCTATGTCCCATGAAATTTGTTTTTGAGAGTTTTTTTTTGCTATAGGGCGCATGCGATCGCCAGACAGACAGAGACATAGAGACAGAAAGCGAGAAATCACCCCCCAGGGCAGATGGCCACGCCGCAACCCCTTCTCCTCCATTCTCCTCTCGGGATCTTGGGCACGCACGCACACGCACCTGGCGTGAGTTTTAAGCCACCGGGTCCAGGACGTGAACTGCAGTCTACTACATGGGAGTCCAGTGACCCAGCCATTACACTAACTGCTGGTTCCCTGTCCCATGAATTTTGATGACTTGTCAGTTTGCTGAGTGCTGAGCAGAGGTCCGATGTGTCGTGTAGCCAGAGCGGGGCATGTGCACACGCGGGCGGGACCGTGACTGGGCCACGCTGGTCAGAGCACACGTGCCCTTCTTGGGTTGCCGGCTTTGCGAGCTGTCCGCCAGCTGACGACTACGGGGTCAGTGCAGCGATGCGCACAGCAGATGGGAGCCTTCCGCCCAGTTCAGAGCAAGGGCTCTCTTGAAGCTAACCCTTCCGACAGCATCTGACTGGTAAGGAGTGCTGTGGTCCTTCCTCCGGGCGGCGCTCAGTCCTCAGTGCTGCTGCTGGTGCGTTCCTGGGGCTGCTGAGGCTCTGCTCTGCCTCTCCTGCTGGCGGTAGAGCCTGTGGGAAGTGGGCTTGGAGGTGCACGTGTGTCTGCGTAGATGTAACAGCCCTGGCTTACTTTGTCGTCTTCAGATAAGAACTGGCACTGCGTGTGTTTGTTTTGTTTGAATCCAGGTCAGAGGCCCCCTTTGGCTAAATTAAGCAACGCGACGTGCATCCCAGAGGCAACGTACAAATACCCTGATTTGCCCATCAATCGATGTAAGGAAGAGGTAAAATTACTTTGCCATGATGTAATCTGTTTGAAGACGTGTCCACGGCCCAGTACGTTTGGTTTGTAAAGTGAAAGTCACAGGCGGGTGCAGGGGGCAGGGCGGTGTGGGTGACTGTGGCACCCATGGCGACGGCTTTTCTCTGGCTGTGCTGTGACCTGTCCGGCCCTCACCGAAGAATATCCCCGAATGCACAGTTCTCCTTCCCCCAAGTGTCTGTGCATAAACACATGCTCTTGCCTGAAGAAGCACATGTCCATATGTGTATGCATGTACACGTGTATATACATACATGTATATGCATGCACACACGCAGTCTCCCCCCGCCCTCCTCAGAGGGCACATGTGCTTGCCAGAGATGGAATGGAGGGTGTGGGGGGGTGCAGTCCCGCTGCAGTCCCGTCTCCTGTCTCTATCCTAGAGAGATTCTGGATGCACCCACACATGCCCAGTGTGTCTTTGAAGCCATCAGGTTCAGAGCTAGAACCGTGCGAGCGTCATGTGAGCTATGCCTCCCTCATCCACGAGGCCACTGGGCCAACCTACCACATCTTCTCACAAAGCAGATAACACACCCCGCCACCTCCCTGGGGTTTTCTTTAAGTGTCGGCCTTTTCTGCCTATTCATTGGTACGATCAGTCCTTGGTACGCCAGTTGCACAAGGTCAGCCAGAGAGAGCAGCAGGGTGATGAAATTTCTGATGAGTCACGTTATTAAACATGACTAGTAGCAAGTGCATGAAACCTTTATTAATTTCTCTTGTGGAAAAAGCAGTCACAGATAAAATTGGAATGTCCCCATATTTAATTTTGATTTTGCTCTAGGTTGAATTGTACAGTTTTTGTAGAGTTGGTTACTTTATTAGTTAATTTTAGGAGCCAGTATTCAAGTTAGTTTGTATTCCCTGACTGGAGCAATTGCTGTTAGAGAGCCTAGATGTATTTGGGTTAGAGGAGGCTCAGAGCCAGAGGAGAGTTGGAGTTTTTTAAATGCTCCGTAAAACCTACAAGTGGACGAGTGGAAGTTAATTGTTTAAAAATGTGTACGGAGTTAAGACACTGGACTCCACGGGAGCAGCAGATGGCATCATGGTTGCTAGACGCCCACATAGCGGACCGCCTAAAACTCATGCTGGGCACGTGTGTGCTTGTGCGCATGCATGCCCAGGATCCTGAGAAGGAGAAGGGGTTATGGGGTGGCCATTCTCCTTAGGGGAGTGATTTCTCACTTTCTGTCTCTCTAGTGAGCCCAATAGTAAAAATCTCTTTTTTTTTGAAGAAGTTTTTGCTATAGTGTGTATGCGCTCGCCAGAAAGACAGAGACAGAGAGTGAGAAATCAGCCCCCCCGGGGGGATGGCCACACCGCTATCCCTTCTTCATTTTCCTCTTGGGATCATGGGCATGCATGCACACGCGCCCAATGTGAGTTTAAAAGCCACGAGGTCCAGGACTTGAACCGTGGTCGACCACATGGGAGTCCAGCGACACAGCCATTACACCATCTGCTGGTCCCAGTAAAAATCTCTCTCTAAAACAAAACAAACAAAACAAAACAAAAAACACCAGACTCCCACATGGCAGCTGTGGTTCAAGTTCCAGATGCCCACGTGGCTGACTGTGGTTCAAGTCCTGGATCTGGAGGCTTGAAAATCATGCTGTGTACATGTGTATGTGTGCCCAAGTGCCAGGAGGAGGAGAATGGAGAAGGAATTATGGCATGGCCATCCCCTGGGGGGTGATTTCTCACTTCCCCTCTCTGTATTGTGCATGTGTCCTATGGAAAAAACCTAAAAACCAAAAATATGTCTGAAGAAGTCCTTTCTGCTTTCCTTCTTTGCTTCCTTCTCTTTCGCTTCTGTTTTCCTTGTGTTACTGGAGGCATGTGCACTTGTCAGAGGGGCAAGGAGAGAAAGGCCCCCGAGATGGGGCATGGCCATGCCGCAGTGCCTTCTCCATTCCTTCAGACTCTGGGGCATGAACACACGTGCCTGGCACGCTTTCCAAGCCCCAGCGTGGGAATTAGAACCGCAGTTGAGGACCTGGCTCCCTCTGCGCACGGCTGGGCCATGGTGGCACCGGCCAGCCCATGTCCGACACCTTTCCAATGAAGTGTGAGCTGTTGGAATGTAACCACTCTGTTTTAATATTTCCAGCAGATTCACATGCAGGTTCATCACGAAATTTTAAAGCAATGGGAATTTAATAAGAGCCATAGAATCCAATTTGGTGTTTTCATTTCATTAAAGAAATGAAGGGCCAGCCAGTGGCGTGGTGGTTAAGGCAGCTGGATCCCACATGGCTGACTTCATGGTTTGAGTCCTAGTCCTGGTGACTTGAAGCAGCTTGAAAAATGCACCAAACTTGTGTGTGCATGTCCAAAATACTGAGAAGAGCGTGCAAGAGAAGGAAATGCAGCGTGGCCGTCCCCCAGGGGTGACTTCTTGCTTTCTCTCTCTCCCTCCATCTGTCTCCCTGGCAAGCACACCTGCCATACATATAACAGCAAAACAAATCCCAGCGTGAGACCTGGGGAGCAGAGACTAACTGGGCTCGGTTCTCCATAGCTAGTGCGTGCTGCCCTGTGGTAATGGGACTGCCTTCCATGTGCCACACTGCTTGTTGCCTCCTTGGCCTCGCCCGTATGTGTGCCTGTCTAATTCATTACTTAACCTAAGGTGAGAGAGAAGTAGATCCTGAAGTCTTCCTAAAATGGGCAATAGTTGATATTATTGTTAATTTTGTGCCTTTTTTTTTTGGAGAGGTTTTTTTTTGCTATAGGGTGCGTGCGCTCTCCAGAAAGACAGAGAGATAGAAAGTGAGCAGTCACCCCCCGGGGGATGGCCACGCCACAATCCCTTCTTCTCCATTCTCCTCTCAGGATCTTGGGCATGCACGCAAACACGCCTGGCGTGAGTTTAAGCCACCGGGTCCAGGACTTGAACCATGGTCAGCTACATGGGAGTTCAGCGACATAACCATTATGCTAACTGCTGGTCCCGATTTTGTGCCTTTTTTTTTTTTTTAAGATAATTTGTTTTTCAATTCTAGATCATTTCTTTGATAGAAAGTAATTCTGTGGTCATTATACACGGGGCCACAGGGAGTGGTAAAAGTACTCAACTCCCGCAGTATGTCTTGGATCATTGCACTCAACACTCCACCTATTGCAACATTGTGGTCACCCAGCCACGGAAGATCGGGGCCAGCAGCATCGCCAGGTGGATCAGTAAAGAGCGCTCCTGGACTCTGGGTGGCTTGGTGGGCTATCAGGTGAGACTGCATGTGTGTGTCGTGGGGGGAGATGTGCAGTTTATTCCTTGTAGGGTGGAGATACCGTGTGACTGCTTTCTGCTGGAAATTAAAATGAAACCAGTTGCCAAAAGAGCAGAGCTGTGGCATGGTTTTATTTTTGAGAGGTTTTTGTCATAGGGCCATGCACTCACCAGAAAGACAGAGAGAGACAGAGAGAAAGCGAGAAATCACTCCCCGGGGGGACGGCCATACTGCAATCCCTTCTCCTCCATTCTCCTCTTGGGATCTTGGGCATGCATATATACACACCTGGTGTGAGTTTAAGCTACCGGGTCTGGGACTTGAACTGTGGTTGACAACATGGGAGTCCAGCAACATAGCCATTACGCCAACTGCTGGTCCCTGTGGCATAATTTTAACAAATGGCAAAATTAGATTTCTTGAAAATAATATTTAATTTCTTTCCCAGTTGAATAGGAAAGAAATGAGAATTCTTAGGTTCATAGTTTTTATAATCTTATCCTTTCAATTACATCTTTGTAGTCTAGAATCTTTATACATAAATATTTTAACACAAAAACGTTATAGGCACTACAAGTGGATAAGCTACACCTTCATACACCCCTCTAAAAAAGAAGAAAAAAATGAACTTGAAAACTTTGTTTTTTAAAAAATAGTTATAGTGCTAGAGGCACTGTGTATTCACTGGTGATAGAGAGACAGAGAGATCACGGGAGGCCTCACCCCATGGGGGACGGTCACACCTCAGTCCCTTGTCCATTTCGCCTTCCAGGATTTGGGGCAGGCATGCACATGCACGTGCGCGCGCGCACACACACACACACACACACACACAGACACACACGGTTTTCCTTTTCCCTTCCCCTTCTCCTTTTCTTTTTCTTTTCTTTCTTTCTCTTTTTTGGTTAAGGTTTTTGCCACAGAGTGCATGTGCTCACTAGAGAGAGACAGAGAGGGAAAGTGAGAAATCGCCCCTGGGGCGGGGGGTGGCCATGCCTCAACCCCTTCTCCTCTGTTTTCCTCCTGGGATTTTGAGCATACGTGCACATGTGCTTGGCATGATTTTCAAGATGCCTGGTCCAGGGCTTGTACTGTGCCACGTGAGATCCAGCCTCCTTAATCCCCACACCACTGACTGGCCCGAAAGCTTTATTTTCAATTTGGACTCTATACGTCTTTTGAAATACGATAATTTTTAAAACATAGTTTCTGCTATAGGGCACATGTGCTCGCTGGAGTGAGACAGAGGGGAAGTGAGAGATCACCCTCCGAGGGAGACGGCCACACCGCAGTCTCTTCTCCTCCATCTCCTCTCAGAATTTTGGACACACACATGTGCCCCATGAGTTTTTTAAGCTTCCTTGTGACGGATTTGAACTGCTCTGAGTCTGGGACTTGAACTGCACTGTTAGCCATGTGGAATCTAGCCGCCTTAATTACCATGCCACTGGCCGGCCCCAGAATACAATAGTTTTTTATTCTCTCTCTCTTGTTTCATCCACTTTTATGAAACACATGTAACCTTTTTGTTAATTAAACAGCAGCTATTTAAACCTGGACTCTTCTTTCTCTTTCCTTCCTTAACTTCAGGTAGGGCTAGAGAAAATAGCAACCGAAGATACTAAGTTAATTTATATGACAACTGGAGTCCTGCTTCAAAAAATAGTCAGTGCCAAGAGTCTGATGGAGTTCACGCACGTCATCATCGACGAGGTGAGGGCTTTCTGCAGAGCTGCTCTGACCTGTGGTGCCGCTTCCATAGGAGGACGTCGTACTGCTGCTGTGGGCGGCGGCGGCTTGCAGGGCGCACTGGGCTCGCATCTGCTTACTCTGTGTGCGAAGCTTAACTTTCTGTTTGTATTTCTTGCTCTTGGTTCCAAAATACAGGTGGGCACGGTTAGAGTGGGGGCTGGCAGGTTACAGCCCTCAGGTCAGACTTGGCAACTGCTCTTGTACGGAAAATCTCAAGCACTGTCTCACTCCTCCGTTTGTTTATGGTTGCTTCTGTGTTGTAACAGCAGAGGGATTGCTACTGAGACGGAATGTTCCACAAAGCTGGGAATGATTCCTCTGTCCTTCCCAGGAGAAGCCTCCCACACCTGGTTAGGGTGTCAGTGCAGTCAGCTAGTTCGGGGCTGCATGTGGGTGTCGCAGCTCCTCTGATCAGTCAGGGACAGTTATGGCCTAAAAAATCAGCACATTCAGCACAAGGTACTGCTCTGCTTACCGTTCCAAAACTCGAATGAAGTATTGTGGGCCTGTAACTATACTTCCTTCTGCTCTCTTCACCCTTACACTTTTTTTTTGAGAGGTTTTTGCTATAGTGCACGTGTGCTTGCCAGAAAGACAGAGACAGAGAGACAGAAAGCGAGAAGTCACCCCCAGGGAGGATGGCCATGCCACAATCCCTTCTCCTCCATTCTCCTCCTAGGATCTTGGGCATGCATGCATGAATTTAAGCCACTGGATCTGGGACTTGAACCTCAGTCGACTACGTGGGAGTCCAGCAACATAGCCATTACCCCAACTGCTGGTCCCACCTTCCCCACACTTTCTGAACTTGTCTCAGGAAGGACGGAATGTTCAGTGGCCTTGTTTGAGAGTTTTTGAGGTGGGGGATGTTCTAAGATTTTTCTGGGAGCTTTGAAAGGGGCTCTACCCTAGACTCTTGTGTTTTAAACCTCACCAATCATTTGTCTTAAGAAGTGTAACTTATTTCTAGAGGAATCAGAAACATCAGCAGACAAATAGAACTCGTGGGGTGCTGTGAGATGGGGCTTGGGTGCTTAACAGTGAAAACAAACTGTGCAAGCTGCCCTTTAGGGTAAGGTCTCCTCTCTCTCTGATACCAAAATATACAAGTGCGGCTGAACTAGTGTGCTTAGGATCTCGTGTGCGGGCACTTGGCTTTCAACTACCGTGGGGTGTTTAGGAGAGTAGGAAAAGAAGGACGACGACCTGTTGATATTCCTTGGAAATAGTGTGATGTACAGCATGCTTCACAATTTGTATGACCTTTGGCAATTTTGAGTGTCTTTAGGTCAGGTAGTGATCAACTTCAAATTCAATCGGCAGTATGCTGAAAAGTTTCCCCATAAATGTGCTAATAGTTGCCCTTACGGAGTCTCTCACTGTAGCGGAGCTGGTTTTGCATGAAGGAGGGGAGCTGGAAGAGCAGCAGTGTGCAGCCACAGGCAGTGCAGGGCGGCGGGACTCAGGCTGCACTGTGGGCCTCGGACGCCGGCGCCTGCCTCACTCCTCCGTGTGCCTGGCATCTTGTCGGCCGCGTAGGACGTCTCTTCAGAAGCTCATTGATGAGGGGAAACCTACCGTCCACGTCCTTGATGACTTGCTGTCCTGAGCTGTGTCACAAGCAGTCGGGTGCAAGTCGGCTGCTCTGCCAGGGCTTGCCCTGTGGGGCGGAGGGCGATGGGGAACCAGCAGAGAACTGCCTGGCCCTCCGCTGCCACAGTGGCCTCTCCACCACCATGCCGCACACCCACCAGGCCTTCTTGTGATTCACATACTGAGTGAATGGATTGGCTATACTGAAGTTTTAGGTTGACTAATACATTGTTCATATTGTCTGGGATGATTAGGATTTCAAAAGAAACACAAAAAACTAAAGAAATAGAAAATGATACAAAAAAGTGGAAAGATATCCCATGCTCCTGGATTGGAACAATTAATATAATCAAAATATCAATTCAACTCTGATTAATTTATAAGTTTAATGTAATCCTAATCAAATTACCAGAGCTATTCTTCACAGAACTAGAAAAAAAATTCATAAAATTAGTCTGAAATCATAAAAGGTCCCTTATCACTAAAGTAATACTGCGCAAAAAGAATAAAGTAGGCGGTACTCATTCTCTGACCTCAGAATATATTACAAAGTTGTGAACATCAAAATAGCATGGTGGGAACCAACAGTTAGCATAATGGCTGTGTTGGACTCCCACCTAGTCGACCGCGGTTCGTGTCCTGAACCCGGGGGCTTAAATTCACACCGGGCGCGCATGCGTGCCCAAGATCCCGAGAGGAGAATGGAGGAGAAGGGATTGCGACATGGCCATCCCCCCTGAGGGGTGATTTCTCACTTTCTGTCTCTCTCTCTCTTTCTGGCAAGCGCACTTGCCCTATAGCAAAAACCTCTCAAAAAAACCCCCAAAAAACAAAAACAAAAAAACCCAGCATGGTACTGGCACCAAAACAGGCATCTAGACCAGTGGGACAGAATAGAGGACCCAGAGGGACCAGCAGTGGCATCTTGGTCACATTGCTGGACTGCCACAGAGTTGACTGCGGTTTGAATCCCAAAGCCAGTGGCTTAAAATTCCTGCATGGCGTGTGTGTGTGCATGTCCAAGATCCCAAGAGGAGAGGGGTGAAGTGACTGGGGTGTGGCCATACCCCCTGGGGGGTGATTTCTCGCTTTCTCTCTGGTGAATGCCTGTGCTCTATAGCAAAAATCTCTCTCTCTCTCTCCTTGAGAACCCAGAAATAAAACTTAAAACATGCAGTCAACTGATTCTTGAAACACAGCACAAGACAATCCAGTGGGAAAAACAAAATCTCTAAAGTCAGTTGTGCGGGAAAAACTGGGTATCCACCTGCAGAAAAATGAAACCAGACCCCCATCTCTCACCGTTAACAAAAATCAGCTCAAGATGGGTCAGAGGTCTGAACCCTAAGGCCTTGCTTTCTGAATGGCTAGCTGGCCCGCAAACATGTGGACGTCCCGAGAACTTGCTGGGTTTTCTGTGAGAAGTGTGGCAAGCACCAGCCTCACACAGTGACACAGTACAAAAGGGCAGGGGTTCTCTGTGTGCTCAGGGACAGCGGCGTGACAGGAAGCAGAGCGGCTATGGTGGACAGACTAAGCCTATTCTCCGGAAGAAGGCAAAAACTACAAAGAAGATTGTGCTGAGGCTTGAACGTGTTGAGCCCACTGAGGGTCTAAGAGGACGCTGCCTATTAGAGATGTGAGCATTGGGAACTGGGAGGAGAGAAGAGAAAGGGTCACGGGATCCAGGTCTAAGCCTCACCTTTTCTGTTACGAAGACGACCAAATCTTGAGGGGAATGTTCACCTCATTTGATTACAGTTGGTCTGTTTGTGAGGGAATAGAGTAATCAATAAAATGCCCCTTTTGCGGAAATTTGATTCATGGTTAAATCAGTCAGTCCACCCATCCATCCCTAAAACCTTGACCTATAGAAGTACCGGTGGATAGCACAGGGGGAGCTGTGGGAGACATTGGAGTAGGCAAAGACTTCTTCAGTAAGATCCCCAAAACATATGCAGTAATCTTGAAAATAGACAGTGGGATTACCTCAGGTTAAAAAGCTTTGGCACAACAAAAGGAATAATAATTAGAGTGAAGAGACAACCCTCAGGATGGAGGATATATTTGCAAACTATGCCTCAGATAAGGAACTGGTAACCAGAATGTAGAGGGAACTCCGCAGTTTACCTGGAAAACAATCAATCCGACGAGAAGATAGGCGAGTGACTCGAGCAGACAACTCTCCAAGGAAGACATGAGCAAGCAACAAGCACATGGAAAAACGCCCAGCACGCCTTAGCAAAAGGGAGATGCAGAGGAAAAGCACGGTCAGATACCACTTACTGCAGTCGGAAAGGCTAAGACGGAAAATAAGAATGGTCAGGGAGACCTGAGCCGCTCTGCTCGCGCAGCCTACCCTCTCAGGAACGTACTTTTACTTAATAAACGACTTCTTCCTTTTGCTGTTTGTTTTGTTGAATTCTTTGTCTGAAACAGCAAGAACCTGGATGTTATCACAGAAGCAATCTCGCAATACGTACTGTGGTGAGCCAGCTGGGAGTCTGCTGCTGGAGCCCCTCCAGTCCCTTACAAAGACTGGTCTGCTCCTGTTGGAAGCTTGAAGAACCTGAGCTGTGAAATTGCAGGTGACCATACAACAGGGATGTCGATTAATTCACATCCAGAAGATACTTGTCTGAGGTTTGTGGCCCTCAGTTTCTAGTTTATATCTTTTTGTTTTCTTCTTTTTTGAGAGATTTTTGTTATAGGGCACGTGCACTCACCGGAGAGACAGATGGAAAGTGAGAAATCACCCCCAGGGGGGATGGCCACGCTGCAACCCCTTCTCCTCCATTCTCCTCTCAGGACCTTGGGCACGCATGCACATGTGCCTGGTGTGAGTTGTAAGCTACTGGGTCCGGGACTCGAACCACGGTCGACTACGTGGGAGTCCAGTGATGTAAGGATTATGCCATCTGCTGGCCTCTCATTTTTATCATGTTTTCTACATTCTGAGACGAAGCTTTGTTCTTTAATGCATTTTCCCCTTAAATGTCAACTCATTTAGACCCCCTTACCTCGCAGGTGCAAGCCTACATGTCATGTTCCCATTTCTCACACAATAGTTTGCAGTGAGCTGCTGCTAAAGGTCCTTTACTCTCTTACCCTCCTGACCAAGAGAGACTCCACTCTGCTGGGAATGTGGCAGTGACATGGGACATGTTCGTTTCAGCTGTCAGAGCAGGCTGTGAGCAGTCTGGCTGTCAGCAGCTCTCTGTGTGAGTGAGCAATGAGTGACTTCTAGTGAGAGCAGTGAGTGGTTTTTATTGGAAGCTGAACCAGAGCGACTCCATCTTGTAAACTGGCTTATCTTTAAAGTCGATACCCTAACTATATGCGTGTGTCCATTTCCTACCACGGAGACTCTTCCTCAGGGGCCCCTGCTCTGTGCTTACTCCTGTATCAGCAGTAGGACCCTAAAGAGAAACATGGGAGGGGACAGTGGCCCACTGGAGTACTCTCCTCCGCTCTTTGCTTTGTCTTGACCAGGACTGGTCCCAGTCCCCTAACGGTGGGATCTGCGTTTGGTGGAGACAGTGGCCTGACTCCCCATCTCCCGGCATGCTGCCAGAGCCCCTTCCCTCTGCTCACTCAGCCGTGACTTACGCATGGCCATGTGGGGTGCCCTTCTGTATTTTGCAGGTTCATGAGCGAACTGAAGAAATGGATTTTCTGCTGTTGGTTGTCCGCAAACTTCTAAGAACAAACTCACGTTTTGTGAAGGTAAATTTGATTTCATGAGTAACCTATCTTTAGGGTTAAGATTAGTTTTGCTTCTATTCTAATGCAAACAGTCGAAGCCTTTACTCTTAAAATGTGCCATCGCCATCAGGTGTGGTATCCAGACCTTGCCAAGAAGCAGGCCTAGGGCGCTCTCTCATGGTCAGTGCTTAGAATCTTTTTTTGGTTATTATGTTGCATTATATCCCAACATTTTCTCCAGGCTGAAGAACGTGATCTAATAATAGTTGACTATAATGAAATGCAGCCCAGCTTTCGGGTGAATAAGCAGCACACTTTGACTGCGTGTGAATAAATCTGCAACCCGGCTTCAGGAAGAGCACCGGCGTGCCCTGCAGCCAGAGCAGCTGCGCGCTGCTGTCGGAGGCACACGGCCGCTCCCCTCCGCATCCCGCCGACCCAGCTGTCACCTCAGACTCATCCTGGGCCCAGCCCAGGCAGGCTCCGACGTGGTGGCAGTGCTGTCCTCTTCCTCTAGCAGTCCTGAGCTGGCCTGCTTGTGGGCATGCTGTGCTCAGAGCATGTAATCCCTGCAGCTGACCAACATGGCGTTGCATAGAGGGCATTTACTGAGCCTGGACGGTGTCTCCCAGGGGTCATGCTGCCACCCAGTGGGCTCTCAGAGCGTGCCTTCCGGCCTCAGGTGTCCTGGAGCTCAGTGGGGTCTTTACTGTGTACCCATCTTCCGAGTGAGACCCTGATGTCTGGTCTGTGTGCTGACTGCTCTGCTGGCGCCTGGATCAGGCTCGACTTCTCTGCTAAGATGTACATTTGTAGGACTCTGCTGCCAGAGCCGGGTTCTTCACAGAGCTCAGGGCTGGCGGGTGGGCCAGCAGAGCAGCCTCCGTCCTGCTGCCCCTCAACCTCTGCACGTCTCTAGTGCCGTGGGCGTTGCCTCTGATGTGTGTGGCTGGCGGTCCCCTGGGCTGCGTTCATCTGTGTCCTGGGCCATGCCAGTGTCTCCAGACTCCTTGTCCTCCGCGCTGTTGGTGTTGAAGGCACGTCATCTAGCTTTCTAGACACATCATCTAGTAACTTGCTTTTAAAAATTAGTTTCCTTTTAGATGGGTGCTTATTATTTAGCTACATTGGTGATGTGTAATTTCTCATTTGACAAAATAGTGGAAGAAAAATAGTAAAAGTTGCTTTTACCAAGCACTCCTTAAACAGCAGTAATTCACATTCCGCTCGAGAAGTGAGTCAAGGTATTCTATTTAAGATCTCAGAAGTTGTTCAGAAGGAGAAGACAGGCCTAGGATTCTGAGAGAATCGACTTCGGTCGGCGTCACTCCCTGTGCGTGTGGGCGTTGAAGGCTGCTCTGCTCTGTAGGTGATCCTGATGTCAGCTACCATCAGCTGTAAAGAGTTTGCAGACTACTTTGCCGTTCCTGTCCAGGACAAGATGAGCCCTGCGTACATCTTTGAAGTGGAAGGCAAGCCCCACTCAATTGAAGAGTATTACCTCGATGACTTGGGCCACATTCATCACAGCAGGGTATGTTGTTAGCTTCCTTTCTTTACAATCGGCGTGTGTGTGTGTCAAAGCAGGGTCTCGCTGTGTTGTCCTGCTCCTGCCTTGGCCTCCCAGCAGGGCCTCCAGCACACGGTCTGGCGCCTGACCTTCAGGCCGGGCCGGGATCAGACCCAGGCTTCCCATACGGTCCTGGCATGCGGAGCTCAGGTCTTAGCAGTGCACTCCACGGAAGCTGGATCTGAACACTTTCGTATGTATCAAATCCGTATTCATTATCTTGGGAAGCAAAGCCCCTTTGGAACTTGAAATCAGAGCAGAGAGACGATAGGGAGCAGATTCTTCAGACCAGAAGAGCAAGCCGCAGACTCCTCCTGGCTTACAGATCCGAACTGGGAGTGTAAGAAGTCTGTCGCATGGTTCTGTGACATTACTGGAGCTGGTGTCCATCTGGCCGATGATGCAGCGTGGAGTGTCAGACTCAAGTCAGCTACCAAATGGTAGATCGAGTTGGGGTGGGAAGTGATTTTATTTCAAATCCAATTTTATTTTGATTAAACTTACATTTTCTAATGTAATTTGTTTTCACTTTAATGTGAAGGAGGAATATATTTTAGCACTGGTAGTATGTTCTTAGGAAAGATTGTAGTTGATTTGAAACTGTTTTCATAATAATCAAAAGGTAAAAGCAGTGTAACACAGCTCCTTCCTGCTCCTGTCCTTAGACTGCCTAGCAGCTCTCTCGTTACGAGAAAGCCTTGAGGCCGACAGGTGGCGTGGTGGTCAAGGTGCTGGACTCCCACTTGGCTGACCATGGCTTGAGTCCCAGACCTGGTGGCTTGTTTTATCAATTTCCTTCTCTCTCTGGTCAAATTAAAAAATAATAATAAATAAAAAATAAAATTTTTTATTAAGGGGCTTGCAGGTGGTATGGTGGTTAAGGGTGCTGGACTTGCACATGGCTAATTATGGTTTGAGTCCTGGATCTGGTGGCTTGCTTTCTCACTTTCCCCTTCTCTCTTGCTCTGTCCCTCTCTGTTCAAATGAAAGTAAATTAGTAAATCAATAAATAAAAGTTAAATAATTCTAAAAAAAGAGGAAGCCTTTGTTCCTGATTTTCTGTGAATACTTCTACGTGTGTTCTTGCCTCTACAAGCATGAGTGGATTGCTCTCCTTTTCACAGAAATTGGAGGATTCTATGTCCACCTTGCTTGTCCCCTCTCAGTTTTCATTTCTTCTCATGTCAGCATATAGTTTGACTCATTCTCTTTTTAGAGATACATGACATTTCTTAATATGCACGTACCAGTTTTTAAAGTTTTTTTTTTCTTTTTTTTCGCCATAGGAAGTGTGGAGTTGTTGGGAAAAGTGAGACAGAGACAGAGAAAGGGAAAGCTAGACATAACCCCCAGGGGGGTGACCACGCCAGAGTTCCATCTCCTCCATTCTCCTCTTGGGATTTTGGGCACGCACGCACATGCACCCAGCATGATTCCTAAGGCAGCAGGTCTGTGACTCGAATTGCAGTCGTGTGGGAGGCTAGCACCTTAACCGCTCTGCCGACTGCTGGCCCTGCCATCGTTCACATAGCTAACCCCCAGTGGTTGTGGGCCTTTCTCTGATGAGAGCACGCCAGTGGGGGGCGCTGCAGGCATTATTTGGTAGTGGGAAGGTAACCTTGCCTGCCAGGCTTTCTCTGCCCCAGCACGCTGTCTGGGTGGACCGGGCGACTGAGGGGCTGTCTGAGCTTTAGTAGCCTCAGCCCACTGGACACAGGTGGCTGCCCTTACTCACCCCTCCATTTTGAACAATCCAGAATATTTTTAGCTCTTGTCATATGTCCCTTGGAGAGTAAAATGCCCTCATAGGAAACCCCTATAGACTGTGCCTTGCCAGAAGGTGAGTTCCCGGAGGTGGAATTGCTGGCTGAAGGATACCTGTGTTTGTCATTTTGAAGGGATAGTGTCGACCTGCTCTGAAAGGAGTTCAGCTCCCATGAAAAACACTGGGAAGGTGGAGCAGTCGTAGCTCCTACGGAGAAGCTGGCTGGATTTCACCTACCGCACAAAGACACAAGTCATCAAACCTAGTTACATCAGTGGCAGTCCTGACGGCCATGAAACTTAGCATTTTGTTTTTTCTTTTTAAAATGTTGCTGTAGGGCATGTTAGCTTGCTGGAGAGAGACTAAGCGAGCGAGAGAGGAAGCGAGAGCACTTCCCTGCCCGGGGGCAATCGCCGTGCTGCAGTCCTTCTCCATTCCCGTCACTGGAGTCTGGGCACACACGCACACGTGCCAGCGCACCTCCCAAGCCTGCGGGTGTGGGACTCGAACTGTGCAGTGGGTCCTATAGGACCTAGCGCCTTCAGTACCACACCACCGAGCTGGTCCGATGTAGCCCTTCTTTTCCACCTTTTTAATTTACTTATTTATAAATGAGTTTTTTGCTTAGGGTACGTGTGTGCGCTTGTCAGACAGAGATCACCCCTTGGGCTTGACCGTGTTGCAGTGCCTTCTCCTCCATTCTCCTCTTGGGATTTTGGGCAAGCGCACATATACGCCTGGCTTGGTTTTGAAGCCACTGGGTCTGGGACCCGAATGCAGAGTCAGCCACGTGGGATCCGACTGCCCTAGCTACCATCCCAGCTGGCGGCCCTACCCTGTAGCACTTGTGCAGAGTCTCTGTCAGACCTAGGAAGCTAGCCTAGGCGTGTTACTGCGTGTCACCCTGACTTCATGGAGCCACGCCGGCGTCACCACGCCCTCTGCTCCGTGACAGCCATCCAGGACGCCGCTCTGTACTTCGCTGTCCTGTCTCTTTAGGCTGTGACAGTTCCTCAAGCTTGATTTTTTTAAGTTGATTCATTTACTTACTCCTTCTGTGAGAGAGCCAGCCAGCCAGCCAGAGAGGCAGCATCCTCACAGAGCCCAGAGACAGAGCCCCCAGCGGGTCCAGGCACTGTGACCTCCCACCCCAGCCTGGCCTTAGCCGGCGCTGATCATGGACACACGCGGGCCCGGCGTCCTCAGGGAGGTTAGCCTTGCAGAGCCTCGTGCTCCCTGCTGCGCTGTCCTGCCCCTGCCTTACGTTGGGCTCCCGACTCCTTTGAGGAGTACTGGTCTGGTCTTTATGGGGTACCCCAGTACTGGGGTCTGACAGCCATTTTTCTCCTGATGAGACTTAGGTGAAGGGCTGTGGAGAGGAAGGCCATGGGTCAGGTGCTTTGTGTCATACATGAAGGCCACGCACCGTGACTCGCAGTGGAGACGCTGGCCCTGACCACTCGGCCAAGGCCACGTCGGCCAGCCGTCTCCACTGCGCCCGTACTCTCTTCTTCCCTCCCGCACTCCACTCAGAAACAAGCTGCTGAGTGCAGCCCACAGTCCAGGCTGGGGGAGGGTGCACGGGTTTGTAGCATTACCAGTTAGCGTTTTCTTTGGGCTGGGTGGTGGTGTCATGGTGAAATGTGATGCACTGCCCGGAAGTCCCATTTGGGACTGCCCTCAGTTTAAGTCCCAGAGACGTCCCTAGGTACGTGCATGGTGCAGGATTGGCTGAAGTCTGTGGGCAGAGTGCAGCATTGGGACCCTGCTCAGGAGTCTCTGTCTCTAACATGGACTCATGAAAAAGTAAATCAGCTTAAACATTTTTTATTTCTTTCTGACTCATTTTGGACTGTGAGAGTGATGGTTTATGAGTCTGGTATTCAAGTGGCCAAAGTAGAAACCTTTTTTATTTCTTTTTTAAAACCATTCCTGTTTTTTTCTTTCTTTTTAAAGAAATCTTCTTCCCTCCCTCCCTTCCTTTCCATTCAGTTTAACCAGAGAGGGACAGAGTGAGAGAGAAAGGGGGGGAGTACTGAGAAAGCAAGCCGCCAGGTCTGGGACTCCAACTGTGGTCGGCCCTGTGGGAGTCCAGCACCCTTAACCACTGTGCCACCTGCTGGGCCCAAGAAATTTTTAAAAATGTATGATGGAGAGCACTTGTACATTACGAGAGAGGCAGAGAGGGGAGCACCCTCTCCAGGGCTTGGTCATGCTGCAATCCCCTTCCTTCTGTCCTCTAGCCCATTAGCATCTGGGTGCCCACACAGGTGCCCAGTGCATTTTCAGGCCAGTCCGACTGGGGACTTGCACTCCAGTTGGCATGTGACTTCCAGTTCTGTGGTCCGGCACACTACCAACTACGCCACCAAGGCTGGGCACCACCTCGAGTCCAGTTAGTCCTTGCCGATGTTTATTCTGCACTGTCAGAGCATGCAGGCTCCTGGTGTCTCCCTGTGGGCGGGCTGTGGAGCTGCGTCAGACCTGGGCATTTGTCCCTGGAGCCTGCATGGCCAAGATGGCCCAGCCTCCAGGCCACCAGGCCCCCTCCTCAGCAGGCTGGGATACCTGGTTTTAGCACTTTTTATCAAACAACATGCCTTTGGTATTAGTAGGGGTTCAGGGAATATTCCAGTGAATGAACGTGCAACCCTGGGCGGCATGTCGATTTCAGGCGTGTAAGAACGGTGTTCCGTGCAGATCCTGTTCCAAAGCTTTTGAAGCCGAGCACTGTTGTTTGCCTGTCCTGACGGCTGAGCACGCTCGAGTGGAAGCAGCTGTGGATCGGAAACAGACACAGTGTGTAGAGCAAAGTGGGGGTCAGGGGGCCAGGCACCTCTGAGGAGATCGCTGTGGCCCGAGCCCTTCCTGGGTTTATTCTTTCATGGGGCCCACGGGGAGAGAGAAGCAGAATGCAAAGCCAGTTTCCTGATGTCATCAGCTGGGGACATGGACCCTCTGGCGTCTTGTGGTTTTATACGGCTTTCTCTGACCTTCCCGGACCTTCTCTGGCTGACACAGCTTCCTTTAACCAGCATCACCCTACAGGGTTGACACAGGCCGAATCTTGGGGCCAGCAGGTAGCGTGGTGGTTAAGGGCGCTGGACTCCCACGTGGCTGCCCAGGATTCAAGTCCTGGACCTGGCAGTTTGCTTTCTCACCCTACCCGCCTCGCTCTGTCCCTCTCTGGTCAAATTGAAATAAATAAAGTTAAATGAAATAGTTCTTTAAAAAGAAAGAAGAAACGTTCGCTAGGCCCTGCAGCGTCAGCACAAGGACCATGTTCCCACTTGTGTTTTAAGGCCACTACTGTGTCGCTCAGGTCTGGCTGCTGCCTGCACTGCTAAGGTTGCAAGCTCGTCGCTCTCACGGTCCAGCCTCAGTGTCGTCAGGTTCCTAGGCGGGACGCCAACCTGGCCTGTGTTTGCCGTCACCCTTTCCTACCTCCTCAGGGACTCGCCTTGTCCTCTGTCCCCTGCTGTCCTTGCTCTAACATCTCCTCCTTGCTCCCCTTTCCTCCCATGTGAACCGAGCAAGCGCCTTCTGTGTGGAGAAACACGTACTTCGGACCCAGGGTGCTCCACGGCCTCTGAGCTCTGCCCCGCCTCCATGGACGCTCCACTCGCTGCACTGGGGCTGCCGCTGTCCCCACCCATCGACAGCTGCACTGCCAGGCTCGCTAGCGGCCTCCTTGTCCCGTCAGAGGTCGGCCTGCACCCCAGCTGGCCTCTCTGGTACCTGGCACTGTGACCACTGCGTGTTTTGGAAACTCACTCTCCCCTCAGGTCCCATGGTGCTCTCCTGGCGCTGTTCCCACTCTGGCTGTTCCTTTTCTCTGTCCTTCAAAGAGTCCTTTTCATATTTTATTTTCAATTTCTTTATGCCAAAAAAAACCCCAGTAAAGTACATGAAGTGTAAATGCACTCTGTGATGAGATTGTGGGGCGCACCTCCCCGCCTGCCTGCCCCGGACGCCCCACGTGGCAGTCGGGATCACACCCCTGCACCTAGAGTACAGCTTCCTGTGATCCCCTCACAGCTCGGCCGCTCCTTGGGCCCACAGTGCACCTGCAGTGGGTGTGGGAGGGCGGTGAGCGGTGGGGTGGTGTGTTTTCCCTGGATGGACAATGGCTATCTGCAGTGCCCGTCCTCGCTTGCAGACACAGTGGTGCAGCCGTCCCGTGGCCTCAGTGTGCGCCAGGGATGGTCGTTCTGCCCAGTCACACCGACTGGACAGGCAATGGGAGGGATGCTGAGCCTCTTTGGGTTCCACCTGCAAAAGGACAATGTTCCCCCATGTCTCTGTGCCCTCCCATCTCTCCTCACGTCCTCCCCTTCTCTGACCATCTCCTCCCATACCCCGCCTCCCTGCTCTGACCGTCTCCCCACACCCCGTCCCGGTGCCCGACCGCCTCCCTCCGTAACCTGTCCCTGAGCCCCAGCACCCTTTCCCTGCAGCTGACAGCCTCCTCTCACACTGCACCCCTGTGTCCTGGTGCACCGTACATCGAAGCCTCCTCCCCAGATGGCGTGCCTCCCCTGGTTTGCCTGTGTGTTTCTGCAAGCAAGCCGTGAGGCCCGGGACACCCAGCGCCTTGTCCACCGCGCCTCTCCTTGAACTCGCCACAGAGGGCCGGTTCTGCAGTGGGCCAGGCCGTACCGGCTGACCTCCGTGGCCGTCTGTGTCAAGCCTGGCTGAGGGAGGCCATGGCTGCAATTGGCATCTCAAACTGTTTAAAAGTTGTTTTTGGAGGTTGGAGTCTAGAACTCAGGGATGCTCACGGAAATTGTTGCCATCTTCTTTTCGTGGCTTGTCTGTAGGAAGCCATGTCTAGATGGGTCTGAACGCCGCTGTTGGGAGTCTGTGAAAAGTACACCTTTTCTATTTCTTTTTCTTTTTTTTTTGAGATATTTTTGCTATAGAGCATGTGTACTTGCCAGAGAGAGACTGAGACAGAAAGTGAGAAATCATCCCAAGGGGGGATGGCCACGCCGCAATTCCTTCTCCTCCTTTCTCTCGGGATTTGGGACACACATGTACATATGCCTGGCATGAGTTTTTAGCTGCCAGGCCAGGGACTCGAACCGTAGTTGACTATGTGGGAGTTTAGCGACGCAACCATTATGCCATCTGCTGGTCCCACACCTTTTCTATTTCTTTTCTGTGCAGTTTTGTTATGATAAATATTAGTTATCATTGGGATAAAGTAGGAACTTATTTGAGGGAAAGCTTAAATTCCAGAAATGGAGTATTAGGTATGCTTCTCCCGAGTCGTGAACCCCCGAATCAGCTCATCACGCTTACTCCACTAGAATTGTGACAGTAGTAAACAGGGAGTTACTCGTATACTAGCCGATTGAATGTATTCCAGTGAGATAGGGAAATAACTAATCTGCGTTTCTCATTGACTTGTGACCACACAAAGGCTTGCTTTGTTGTGCCCCTCACAAAGTGCATGCAGTGTTTTGCGTCTAGTAGCTGCTAAGTAAACTACAGGAAGCCTTCTTACTCCTGGCGAGAAGAAGCAAGTATGGGAGGCAGTGGTTGAGTGCTCACCATTGGGTGGTAAGTGTGTAGGGTGTGGTAGAGACATATGGGGCTGGCCTCAGCTCTGTGAGGGCTGGCCGCTGGGCCCAGTCATGACCGTACTAGGAGTTTGCTGTGCCTCGACGCTCCAGCATTCTGTAGCGGGGCCCGAGGGGCGATTTAAGAGCGTCTAGGCTCCGTTTAGCTTTGTTGCCCACAATGACAAGCAGTCTAGTAACCCCGAACCTTGGCAGACAGATGCCTCAGCGTGTGGTCTGTCATGGCTGCAGATCGGCACATCTCCGTGTGCTGTCACCCTCCCCTGGTACTTTTGATTTTCAGGGGTGCCTCACACACAGGAGGGCTCAGTCTTAGGGCCCTTCAAGGCAGTGCTTTAAAGATCAGAGGGCTGGAGCTCTGGCTTTGGGTCGGAAACACTTCCTGGCTCCAGAGGCGTTCGGAGCAGCCTCTCTATTGGTTTTCTGCCCATCACTCAGCTCTTTGGGTTTGTCTCCCTGGTTCCATCCTCACTTCAGGGCCTGGGAAGGGGTGACCAGGAGCAGGAGCCTGTGGCCAATGTCACATGCGTACTCGTACACGGCCAGTGCTTAGGGACTGCCTGCAGATGACATTCTTTGTGAGTTAACTTTTTACTTTTTATGTACTTATTTTTTCTTCTACAGTGGTCTTCAGAGGGGAGAGTCACTCAATGAACCTCAGAAGTCCTCTGTATCCTATTTTGATATTTCAGCCTTTGCCTTTATTTTCAGCTTCCTCCTCATCTCCGGGAAGAACCAATGATAACCAAGGACATATATGAAGTTGCTGTCTCCCTAATTCAGATGTTCGATGAGTTAGATATGAAGGAGAGTGGGTAAGAGACACTCCCGTTGGTAATCTATTTTAATGGTATGAAATTTAAAACATGACTCAATAAATTAGAAGCTTCTTAGTGTATTTACAGCATTATGATAGATAAAGACTATAAATCCTTTCTCAATAGTACTATTTTAAAATTAGCATTTTGGAAATTTTGTATTGGAGATTCCTGCTCTGTAGTAGATAAAGCCAGACCAAGTGCAGCGTTTTTGTTCTTTCTTTATTTAAGTGCTCAGTCTTTCACAGGCACATTTTCGTCTCCCCTCCATTTCCGCGTCTGACCACCACTACGACTTGTGTCCTAGCATAACATTCCACACATACTTAAATCCAAGCAAAGGGGACCAGCAGGTGGCGTGCTGGTTGAGGTGCTGGACACTCCCACATGGCCAACCATGGTTCAAGTCTTGGACCTGGTGGCTTGCTTTTTCACTTCCTCTCTCTCTCTCTCTCTTTCTCTTTCTCTCTCTCTTTCTCTTTGGTCAAATTGGAATCAATGAATGAATAAATAAAATTAAATAATTCTTGAAAAAAAGGAAAAAAAGCAAAGGGTAGAGCTCCATCTTTAAAACTAAACAGGCATTTTGGACAACATAGTCTTGGCAGTGGAACCTGGGCAACATTTATCAAACATGATAGGGAAAGTTCTCACTATGCATTATAAAAAGGACAGCCAGGTGGGACCAGCAGTTAGCGTAATGGCTTGTTGCTGAATTCCATGTAGCTGACCGCGGTTTGAGTCCCAGACCCAGTGGCTTAAAGTCACTCCGGGTGCATGTGCATGCATGCCCAAGATCCTGAGAGGAGAATGGAGGAGAAGGGGTTGCGGCGTGGCCATCCCCCCTGGGGAGTGATCGCTTGCTTTCTATCTCTCTCCGTCTTTCTGGCGCATGCACACGCCTTATAGCAAAAAAAACCTCTCAAAATAAATAAATAAATAAATAAAGGACGGCCAGGTATCATCTGCTACAGAAATGAAACAAGAGGGAAAATTTTAACAAGCTGTTTAAACTATTTTCTTAAGGAGATGTCCTCCACTGCCAGAGACCTTAAATAGCCTCCTGGTCAGTCATCTGGAAGCGATTCTTCACGTAATTGATGAATTTGGCTTCCTCTTTGGGAAGAGAACCACCTTTTTCTATACTTGCTTGCATTTTTGCTTTAATGTCTTCTACAGAACTAGGTCCTTTTGGTGTTTTAGGAGTGTTTTCCTGCTTTTTGAACGATTCTTGACCTTTCCATCTTGGTGTTGATGGTTTTGAGTCTTTTCCATTCTGGTTTGGTTTTAAGCATTTTTGCCAGGAGTGTCTCATATATATTTCTTCACTGGAGTTTTTTCTATTTCCTCATCTTCAAAATCATTATCATCTTCATCATCATCATCTTCATCAGCATCAAGTTTTACTTTTTTCTGGGGAACCCTGCTACCACCTCCAGGGGCAGATCGCTTTCCAGACACACCTAAGAATTTCATGTCCTCTTCCTCTTCTGACTCTGCATCTTCCTCCACAGCTACTAAGTGCTGTCCCTATATGCCCCGGCCATGAACCACACTGCAACCTTAAGACCACAGGTGGTGCTCTTTCAGAGCCCCAAGGGAAACCATTGGCTGTACAGACATTCTCGGTGTTGCCGGTGTTACTTTGATCGAACTGCCTTCGTAGTTCACTGCCTCTGCTTCAGCAGTGTGCAATTCATCCTTTACACCAGCCCCTAAACTGACCGTTCTTAAAGATACCTGGTGATCATTCTCATCATTGTGCACCTTAAAGTGGTAATCTTTGTCAGCCTTTAGTTCACAACCGAAAAGATGGGGGGTGGGGCTTGTGTCCTTGTCCACGAAATCTCCCATGGGGTGATGGCACACACTTAGGTGGGCGAGAAGGCCGTTGGAGGCGAACAGCTATGGCTCCTGAAACAGCCGCACAGGACGGGATCACTCCCAGCACGTGCCGTTTGGGGACTGCTAGTTGTAAAAGCTAGGGTAGAGAGTGGAGATAGAATAGCTCTTCCTGACACGTGGGAGTGTTATCTCCGTGATCCCGGGGTAGAACTTTAAGTACCTAGTCAGTAGAGATGGTTGAAAGCCTTTGTTTTCATTTTCCAGAAAGGTGTGTTTCTGACTCTTGGCAAATGTCGATTCTTGTAGCTGGCTGTTTGAACCGTGGAAGATGTTTCCCGTTAGGACAGTTTCAGGTTATAAATGTTATAGTTCACAATTAAAATAGCACACGGTGTTGCAGTGCTGAGCCTTTGCTATGCTGCTTTTACTACAGCTTGTAAATACCACTTGTACTTCGGAAAACCATGAAAACGAGGCTTCCACTCCTCAGAGCAACTAGAACTAGGTAACTGGGGTGGTTTCTCCTTACAGGCTTTAGAGAGAGATGGACAGACACCTCTGTAGTTCCCTTCTTTTAGCCGTAATTATGAAATCAAAACACATATAAAGGCTGAAGCTGCTGATTGGCTTCCTTTCCTCCTGAGCAGTATGGAAGACGAGGTAGCTGGGCTCTAGTCACGGCCGCCCTCTAGTCTCCGTGCAGCTTCACTGTGAGCTATTTGAGCTCCACTTTTTCAGCTTTCCGAGATCTGATTTTTTATATCGTTAGTTGCTTACTTTTACTATACTATGTGTTACTTTATTTAGTCATCATCCTTTCATCTCAGACTTTCCTTCTTGGCTCATTTTCATTCTTTCTAAAGTATGTCCTTCAAAGGTTCTTTACTAAAAGTCTGTTGGTAGCCCGTCTGGTGGTGTAGTCGGTAGCAAACTGCACGGCAGTGCTGGAAACCGCATGGCTGAGGGTGGGTTTGGATCCCCATGTCAGCCTCAGGACGTCTCAGGCGTGTGTGTTCACTTAAGATCCAGATAAGCTGGAGGGCCGTGGGAAGGGAATTCTGCTCTGGGGGACCCTGTCGAGGGTGCCTTCCTCTCTCTGTGTGTCTCCCTAGCGCACATGTGTGGATTCAATTTGCTAGTATTTCGTTGGGTTTTTTGCACCTGTATTCATCAGGGAATCGTGTCGGTCTGTAGTTCTTTCTCTCTCTCTTTTTGTATCCTTTTAGTATAAAGGTGATGGTGGCTTCATAAAATGAGTTTGGCAGCAGGAGTTCCTTTCATTTCACTTGTTAGAAATAGTTTGGGAAAATTGGTGTTAATAGTTCTTTAAAAGATTTATAGGATTCACAAGTGGGACCTGGACATTTCTTTGTTGGGAGACTATTACTGATTCAGTCTCATTGCTTGTTATATAGTAGTCTTTGAAGCACAACAATTGTTTTAGATTTTTTTCCATAGGGTGTGTGCACTTCTCAGATACAGGGAGAGGGAAAGTGAGAGACACCTCCTAGGGGCAATAGCCACACTGTAATCCCTCTCCTCCATTCTCTTGGGATTTGGGCATACACGTACATGTACCTGGTGTGTTTTTAAGCCTCTGGGTCCTTTTTCGAACCAGGAAGTTGGCCACGTGGGATCCAGTATCTTTACCGCCTTGCCTACCAAAACTTAATTTTGATGAACTCTGCTTTATTTATTTTTTCATTGCTCATAATTTTGGTGTCGTATTTAGGAATCCACTGTCAAGGTCAAGGCCATGAATCACTTATTTTTTCTAAAAGCTTTAGAGTTTAACTCTGCATTTAGTGCTTTGACCAGTTTTGAGCTGGTTTTTGCATATGGTATGAAGTCAGAGTCTAACTTCATTTTTTCGTGTGGGGCTGTGTAGTTGTCCCAGCACTATTTCGAAACTGTCCCCTCCCCACCGAGTTATCAGGGCACCCTGTTGGAAATCAGTTAGCTCTAGATGCATGGGTTTGGTTCTAGACTCACGCTTTTCCCATTGATCTTTATTTCTACCCTGTGCCAGTACCAGTCTTGATTTTCATTGTAGTAAACTTTGAAACTGGAAATGTGAGCCCTCCTGCTATTCTTCTTTTCTGTTTTGTGTCTCTTGTAATTACATGTGAATTTTAGACTCCGAATATCAATTTTTTTTTTATAGGTTTTCGCTATAGGGCGCATGCGCTCGCCAGACAGACAGACAGAGACAGATATAAAGCGAGAAATCTCCCCCCAGGGGGGATGGCCACGCCGCATTCCCTTCTCCTCCATTCTCCTCTCGGGATCTTGGGCACGCACGCACACGCGCCCGGCCTGAGTTTTAAGCCACCAGGTCCAGGACATGAACTGCGGTCGACTATGTGTGAATCCAACAACATAGCCATTACGCTAACTGCTGGTTCCCAGAATATCAGTTTCTACAAAGAAACCGGGTTGGATTCGTGGATCTGTGGTAGGAGCTGTGTTGAATTTGTGAATCAGTCAGGATAATATTGCTCATCTTAACAATATTAACTATTTCAATCCATTAATATGGAAAGTTTTTCTAATTGTTTGTATAATGTTTTTGACATGAATTACAGTTTTCAGAATATAAATTTTATACTTTTCAGGTTAAATTTATTACTAAATATTTTAGTCATTTTGATGTTATTGTGAGTTAACTTGCTTTCTTAATTTCATTTTTTGGCTTGTTCATTATAAATGTATAGGAATAATAATTAATTTTTTTATATTTTGATCTTGTATCCTACAACCTTGATATAACTTGTTTCTAATAAATTCTAATGAGACTATTAGGGTTTTCTGCGTTTAAGATGATGTCGCCTACATATTTGAGATAGTTTTGTTCATTTGTTTCTAATCTGGATGCCTTTCATCTCTTTACCTTGCCTAATTGCCTTGGCCAGAACCTCTAGTACAGTGGTGAATGGAAGTGGCTAGAGAAGAGTCCTTATTTGTTCTTGGTCCTAGAGGGAGAGCGTCCGACCCTCACCACTAGGAATAGCGTTAGCCAGGGGCTCTTCTGCAGACGTTTTGATCAAGTTGAGGAAGTCCGTGTCTATTTCCAGCTCATTGAGTGTTT